ACCTCCTGGGATGGGGACTTTCAGACACGGAGATCTTGGGGGATGGAGACCTCTAAGGATGGAGATTTCCCGGGATGGAGAAAGACCTCCTGATATGGAGAGAGACCTCCAGGGGTGAAGATCTCCTGGGATGGAGAGAGACCTCCAGGGATGGAGAGAGACCACCTGGGATGGAGAGAGAGCTCCAGGGATGGAGACTTCCCGGACGTGGTGTGGCACGGTGCAGACCTGGGGTGCTGGGAGCAGAGATCTCTTTCAGATTTACACGGACACGCTCGGACACTTGGACAGCCCTGTCCAACTCTCCCCTCCTCGCCCTGGGTGAAGCACAGCTGGCGTTTCCCAGGTGGGATTTTGGCTCGGGGAGGGTCCCTCTCTCAGCTGAGAGATCTGGGGATGATCCTTTCCCCTGTGCAGGAGTGGCTATTCCAACACGAGCTTATTGCTAACAACACTTGCTAGGAAAATACTGAAGCCCCCTCCTCACACATTTCCCTTCTTTACTCTTCACTCAGCTGAAATACACCTGAACAAGAAATCTGTTTGTGTCAAACACATTTCAGCAGAGCCCCTCCTTCCACGAAAAGCACGGAATGGGAAACCAAACTAAGACAAGCTATTTCTCCATGAGCTGAAGATGGCAAATAGATCACAGATAGAACACGTATTTCAAACACAATTAAAGTTACCCTGTCTCATGGTGACTTTGCTTGTGGTGGTGGAAGAGGATGAGGATGTCTTCCCAGCTACCAGGAACTAATCATCTCCTACAAAAACATGACTTGGAGATCCTGCAGATTCCTGGTGGGAACGCTTCTGATAGAACAGAAATGTGCATGCGGGAAGCTYAGGGTCCTGGGAGCAGCTTTGCAGCCAGCCAGGCTCAGCAGGCAGAAATGAAATCCAGGGAAGGAGGGCTTTCTCCCAGACAACTGTCTCTGTTCCTTCCCACCCACCCCCATCCCCAAGTAACAGATCATCATTTATAAAAGGAACATTAAAACATTGAAAAATACTTCATTTTTCTCCTTAAAATGTGATTCACTGGCATTAGAAGGATTTTTATGACAAAGTTTCTGTTCCATGTGGTGCTGTGTGAGGTTCATGAAAAATAGTTTTCCACGTTTCAAAGAACGAACACAAGTTTGGAAGCTTAGATTGGTTCAGGGTCAGTCAGAATGTACTGATTGCATTTTACTATGGGTATGTATATATATTTGTATTTATATACACATACACTGCCAGAGAGTTGTATAAAACCCCTTGCAGCCATCCAGGCTGAGTGGCTGCACAGGGAATGCAAATTATTATCAGCTTGTAGGAAATAATATAAATTTTTCTACATCCCCCTCCCCCAGTCCCTGCACATGCATTCTGGGAACTGGACACTCCCCAGGTGTGTGTTGGCACCTGTGGGTGGAGAAAAAGACAGATCAATTCTTGCGAGTAGATGAGATTAATCAAGGCAGGTTGCACTTTACTGTACAGAGGAATGTGGCTGCTCCCCGCTGTTCTCCTGAGTGCAGAGTGCTGTGGAGACTCAGACACGAGGAGAAAGAAGCAGAAAGGTTCCAGTACAGGGAGCAGCATCCCTTAGAGCTGCTGCCTGCCAGGACCCTGGCCAGAGGGAGAGCAGTGGGATCTGGGCAATCCCAGCCTGGCACTCTCACTCTGGGCAGGCAGGGGATGGTGACACACCACACACAATGCATCAGGACAGTGACAAACAAAATTAACAAAAACACTTCGCTACTCTACAGTTTCTGCTGTGAGAGGGTCTAAAAGCTTTTCACAGATGTGATGGCCTGACCCTTCCATAGAATTGGAAATTCCCATCATCATCACCTGTGGACCATAGGAAACTGAAGTGCTGGGGACCAGGCTATGGGTCACGACACTCGGTCCCAGACCAAGCGTTCGTTCAGTGACCAACCCTCAGAAGGGGAAAAAATGGCCTAAGGACACCTGTGTGTGCTGAAATGCCACTGCCCCATCTACCAACACATTCCAGCACAYAGAGCAAGCCATGGGAACACATGGTGCCCAGGTGGCATCCAGGGCAYGGATCCTTCCCGAGGAAATTTGCTGAAAATTTTCTGTGGTGGTGGCGGAGTCCCTGAAGAGATTTGGCCTAAAAAGGCTCCTTGTGGGACACATCTGCTTGAAACAATTGAGTGGGTGGAAAAAAAGACAAAGAAATGAGGCTAAGTTTGCTCTGGAGGATTCTTGCCCAGGAAGGACACAGCAGCAGAGGACCTGTGATATTTGTCAGCCAGAATGGGAGAGGACACAGAGGTCAAATGGCCCCAGCACAGCTCAGCACCTGCACAGTGCTAATTGAATGAAAAATTTCCAAATTTGCATCTGGTCCAGCAACTTCTTAGTTCACAAATGGAACATTCAGGTGAAGACGAGAGCTTGAGACACAGAGCTATGGACATGGAAAGAGAGGAGTGTTCACCTACCCAMAGCCTCTCACGGCCACCTCTCCTCCAGCTCTGCCACCACAGCTCCTGCAGACTCTACAGTGGACTCTGCTCTCCCACAGTGTTCAGATCTCCCTGGCTTTGCTTGGGCCAAGAGAGAATGGAAGAGCCCCAGAACCTCAGCAGAGGCTGCCTCCCCTCAGGTGTGAGAGTTTATCTTCTCTTCACAAGAGTCACAACTGTTGGCCAGTGGGAAGGTCAGCAAGGGAAATATTTTCACAGGGGTTGTCTTCTGGGAGGAAATATCCAGGGACTGAGCTGAGGAGCTTGGAGGTAGTCAGGGGAGAGGAGTGTCCATCAAGGGAGGTGTGAGCCTGTTCTCTCTCATCCCTCCCATGCCATGAACTGCCACCCTGATCCACAGACACTTCTGGGTGYTGCCCAGAGTGATTTTGCCCAAGGCTGCAGGATCTGACCCTTGTTATTTATTTATTTRTTCCTTCCCAGYKCAGTTTCCATCAAACAAAGCCCCAGTAAYCTCTTGCTGATGGAGTCCTTCTCAACACAGTCTCCATCAGACAGGGCAGGATAAAGCTCTGGAAGYAGGAGCAGCTCCAGGACATTCTGGGAAAGAGAAAGGCCACCTGCACACCCCACTGTAAGGGCCACTGGGGTAAGGACACCTGCTCCCTGGGCCAGAGGAACCTGGCGCTGCACCAAAGCTTCCACAGGAGACTCAAAACTCATGACCTACAACCCTTGTTTGCTACACGACTGGGCACATTGGGCTGGGAATGTCATTAAGGCCAGGAGGTGGGAGGTATTTAGGGGGAGGGAGAAGGGCAGAGCAAAGTTCAGAGAAGCCTAATGAAGGTCTGTGTTGGAAAGGAGTCCATGTGGGAAGGTGGGACATGACAAGAAGCGCACAGGGGTGTGCTTGCAGCCTGGAGTCAGCTGTCACCTCACCCGGGGGACAGAGCACCTCTGCCCGGATCCACCGGGTGTGTGACTGTGCTGGGGCCTCCAGGGCACACCAGGGACCGTGTCTGGCACCCACAGCTACAGCACTGGGTCTGGCTGGCCTTCAAACCCTCTGAGACCCTTCCCTGGCCGCAGAAGTGTGTGTCGATATGAGTCGGTTCTACAAAATTTGGTAGCAACAAAAATCAAAGGGGAAAAAATAAAGAAGAGAAAAACCAAACCCAAATCCAACAAAAAACCAAAGCAAAGCCCAATCTGTCTGGAAAGCCAAAGGTAAAACCCTCACAAATTCTGGACCCACGAGTCTATGTTTTAAAGATTTTACAAATATACAGTATCTAATTAGCGTTATATCAGATATACAACATGCCCATTAATTATAATTATGCTGGATATATAATTTATATGCATGAAATGTAACTGTCTTCATGATTAGGATTGGGACTCAGTGGAATTGGAATTTGGAAGGTTTTYTTGGGAGGCCATTGCAGGGAGAGAAAACTGGGCAAGTTACCGACCTGCTTTTCGGTAAACAGACACCCTCAGCTTTGCGCCTCTGCTAAGGGCTGGGAAAAGATTTGCTACATATGGAATTCTAGGCTGCAAATGGGAGGAGAAAACGTTCAGAAACAGGGGAAGTGGGCCATGGAAAATGCTCTCAGGAAAAGAAACTTCTGKGGAGAAATCCAGGCTGGGTGACAGATATGGCTGCCTTGCCTGGTCGGGGTCTTAGTGGGGTCAGGACCTCCCCCAGCACAGGYCAGCAGTGTGGAGCTGAACAGGTTCTGGTGCTTTAGGTTCAGCAGTGGCAAGAAGCTGGAGGGAGAGAAACCTTCTTCCTCCTTCCTATTTACATGTTGGAGACACCAACATACTAGAATGAGTGGAGAAAAGGGTCTAACAAGCATTTCAGCGTATTTGTGCTTATTGAACACATCAACCCCACTACTTCCTACACTGAGAGAGCAGGCGATTTGTAGGCACTAGTATGTTTTTATCTTATGAGTATATTTAATATAAACTAAAACTTTATTTCTCAGCCAGGCTATTCTTGTCCCTAGATCTGCCAGTCCCATAGGAAAGTCTGCCCTTGGACATGCTCCAAGGGTGACCAAGAACAGATGTGTGGGTGCTGACGGTGCCGAGTGGCCTGGGGATGACCCCAGCAGCCAGAACCTCTCTACTTGCTACAAAATGGCCAAGCAGGAGGACCAAGAAGGAGGCCCCTTCCTGCCAGGACAGGGGGGCTGCATTTCCTCCTCCCTATCTCAGGCTGCGTCTCCTTGGAGCAACTGAAACATCCTGAACTCATGGAAACAACGGGATAATGCAGGTGAGCCCTTGGAAGGAGCCATCGATTACTATGGCTTTCTTTGACAGAAACTGATGCACGTCAGGAAATTTCCTCTGTTATACCTCACTAGTGTCTGACTGCTTGCTTGGGTTCTTCCTGTGTCACGGATGAAGGGGTGGCTTTAAAAACAACGCGGGTGGGTGGGACTGCCAGAGAAGTCTTTGCAGACACTGAGTTAGTAGAGGTTACCTTGGCCTATAAGGCCACTGCAGAGCAGGGTGCCGCGGCCCCCCCAGTCCTTAAGGAGTATCTACAATGCACTGGGTCGTGTCAAACAGTCACCTCTGTTTTGCTGGCGGTGCGGTAGTGGTGGTGGTGCCCGGGGATGTAATGCAGCTGCTCCACCGTGTTGTGCCGGCGCGAGGCGAACGCTTGGCGCTTGGCCGAGGTCGGGTTCATACCCAAGGTATTGTACAAGTTATTTGAGGCACTGGGATGGGGGTGCATTTTTGACATCCTGTAGCGATCCAAGACCGGTGTTGACACAAAGACATCCGTGTGTGACAATGCCCTGGACATGGACTGCTCGGGGTAGCCCGAGCGCTCCGGGGACAGCAGCGGGTCCTGCGAGTGCAGGCGCTCTGCCGACAGCAGCTGCTCATCCGACAGGATCCGTTCGTAGGACATGCTGAACTCCTCGGGCATGATCCTCTCTGGGGACAGCACTCTGTCCTGGGACATGGCCCTGATGGGACGGCGGGGCCTGTCCCGGTGGTTGCTCTGCTGTGACATTTTGATGACATTGATGGGCAGCGTGCCCCGGGCTGCCAGGTCGGGCAGGTGTCTCCTCCTCATGTAGTACTCGTCAGCCTCTTTGTCAGCTGTGGGAAGGGAAAAAGAGAGGTCAGAAGTGTCAGAATGATGCCTTTGGATTTTTAGTTTCTATATTTTCATGAATCTATATTCTCRCAGAGCACTGAGCTCCTGTTCTCCCATCTTTAGACAAAACAATTCCTCTCTGGGCCTGAAATCCAAGGACACTTCGCTGCCTCAGAGCCCCAAAATATGGAAACAACAGAGAATGAGGGGAGCAAACTTGGGGTGGGTGACATCATCACCTGAAGGTGTCACTGGAGAATTGGGGCCCAATGTGTTCATGAGACAGAACTGATAAAAGGGGAAAATCTCGTGACTCGGGGTCCATTCTGGGTGCAGCCTCAGGAGGAGGCTTTGTCTGCCCTGAATGTACCAATAGGCCTGGATTAAATTTGTCTGCTTTATTCTCTGTTTCAGGTGAGCCTTGTTTTAGGCATGAAGAGTCCAGTCCCACAGGGTGAAATGGGGCTGTGCACAGCCCTGCAGCTGCCTCCTGGTGACACCTGAGGGTCCATCTGCCATGGGCATTGGCAGCCCCATCAGAGGGACAGCCCTGTGTGTGTTCTGTCACCGAGGGCTTGTGGCAGAGAGAGCAGTGGGAAATGCATGGATGGGGTCAGTGTAAGTGCCTCCCACCCTCCTGCACCAGGGGACAGCAGGCTCCATTCACTGGGGAGGCCAGAGTGTGGCACTATGTGGTTCACACACGTGAGAAAATCTCCAATGTCACCTTCACAGGAAAGAGCAGGGCAGGGGAGCTGAGCTGAGCAGGTGAGGCCCCTGTTTGAGGAAATGCCCATCCCACCCCTCAGACATAGATATTCCCTGGAGTCCATGAGTGACCTCATCACACTTCAATTTCCATATTTAAATATTTGAAAATGTGATTACAAAATAGGTCTGGTAGTCATGGGATGGTCTCTGAGACCCTGAATCACCTGCCTAAGCTTTAATTTCCCATTTTCTCAATCAGCCTTGGTTGACATAATACAATTTATCCCACRGAACATTTTGTGCTCATTCTGCTGCTCCTGCATCTTAAGTGATCTCTGTGTTGTTCTGAAATGCAGCACACACCCCACACACACTCACYCTCCTTTTCTGGCTTTGATAGAAAGGCTGCAGGCTCTAAGAGGATGTTGGCTACTGCAGCTGTATCATGATAGATCTCTGGGATCCTACAGTAGCTCTATCGTGATAGATCCATGGAATCCCACTGCAGCTGCAATGACCTGGTTATAACTTGCAKAAGCAGCTCCACAATTGTTTCAGATTTTTAAAAAATCGACAGCAGAAACACAGAAGCTTTCTGGTTGACCCTTTTGTTGTTTATATGCTGTGGACTGGGGCTCTGGGATCACTCACCTGGGCAGCCCTTGGGCAGTCTGAGCTGCCCCCTGTGCCTGAGGCTGCAAAGCCCAGAACACCCATCCCTCCCTAAAATTCCATTGTCACAAGTGGCAGAGCACAGCTCTGCTCTCTGTGGGTCAGGGGATGGGGTCACATTTAATGCTCCACACTGATCTCCCCTGTGAGCCTGCTCCCTCAGTTCTCTGTCCCTTTTTTGGCTGTGTCCAAAAGCATCCCTCCCTTCCCTTCAGAGCCCTCAGTGTGGGACCCATCCCAGACACCCGGCAGGACCCCTCCTCTCCTTGGAGCAAACAGCACTGCTGTGCAGGAAGGGGATTCCTAGTGCAAGAGTAGAGGAAATTTCTGGAAATTTCTCCACCTTACAGAGGAAATGAGGCTTGTTGCAAAGTGACCTCACAGGAACAGGTTGGCATGGAGCCCCTGGAGCTGGGAACTCACACAGGACCCAGAATGGACCTTCTACCAGGCTTGAGCCAAGTGCTGATGGGCAGAGACATCCTCTCCTACTCAGTCTTGGCCTGTTCCTGGCACCTGACAGGGAATTCCTTTGGAAAGTCATTTGCTTGTGAGATAAATCTGATGAAGATATATGATAATGATAATGCAGAGGAGCCTCATTTATTTCCTCAGCTCCAGTATTTCAGTCCATGGTGGATGATGTAAGATAGGAATATACCAGATGGTGGAAGAGGAAAATTTGCCATGCATGGAAAGTCTGAGCATGTTTGAGTGATAAAAAGAGCAAAGCTCTGCTGTAGGACAGTCAGGGCAATCATGAGGCAGGTGAGGCAGGTGCTTCCTCTTCCTGGTAGTTAAATATGGGTGGAAATTTCCTCTTTCTTCTGACACAGCCATGAGTCTGTGGGTTTTATACACTACACTGGCTGAGAGTTGAAGGCAGTGGGCTGTGTGTTCTATGAGCCAGAGCTCGTGTGTTGGGTACTGGCAGAACCCAGAGCTTTGCTCACAGGACA